ATATATGATCAGATCTGATCATATATGGACTCATACATATAGGAAGGTAGTTAACACCTTAGCCACCAGAAGGAAGAGCAGTAGCTAGATCCTCCCCTCACGAAGTAATGCCTGACGGCGGTTTCCATGAGGGATTAGAGGAAAGAGGAAAGGGGTTTAGGGTTTAGTGGGTAGGGGCGTCAGCGTCAAGTTTTTAGTATGACGCTGCGTCGAGTCGCCACATATCCGGGCCAACATCTATGCCTAGAATCCGTAAAAAGGATTCCCCCCCCTAAAGGGAAAAAAAACACACACACACACACGCACACGCACACACTCACGTGGAGGGTAGAGTTGTTTGCGTCCGTAGGTTCTGCTTTCACACCCTACACGTGCTGTCCGGGTAGTGCCAAATGAACAACACCAACAACGATATGGAAATGTCAGAAGATTTTCAAACATCGTTTACAGTACAGAGGATGGATACCTCAGTGCCAGCAATGGAAGGCGTGCAAACGGGCCTGAACTCGTCGTTATCAAGCGACCGTTACGACAGCAGGGTGGACCCCATGGCTCTGCTGTCTAGAAATGCTACAGGAAGTACGAAAACAGCCTAGATGAAGGAGAACGGGCAGCTGAGCAACATTCCTCCAAAAAATGGAGGACCTTTTGCTCCTGTCACAATTCAAACCTACCGAGGAAGAATTAACTCTATACTTACTGTCACCAGCCAACAGTCACCATTGGAGAGGTTCAGCAGCAAGATTGAAGAGTTAGCCGACTTCGCAAAAGACAAGAAAAATCTCCATCATTAGATCGGAAAATTCGTTACGTCTATTGGTACGGCATATAGGCTTGCCAACAAATCACCAACGACGTCAGCGTCAACGACTCAAACATCTCCGAGTCTGAGAAAAAAACCACAGCCACCTCTGATCACCCCTAAGAAATTATTACAGCAAGGAGAGGGCAACACGAGGCAGCGGGCAATAAGAGGCAGCTGTCCACGCTCAGCCCTTCCGCAGATATTGACAAGCCAGCACAGAAAAAGACAGCTTGGGATGATACCTGGACCAAAGTGACTCGACAAAACAAGAAGAAGAAAGAACAGGAGCCAGCGGCTCAATCTGATACAGCCCAAAACCAGCCAAACAACGGTGGCTCCAAGAAACCGAGGAGGAAGATGACAAGAACTAAAGTTGTGCCTGTCCAACAAGCTAAAGGGTGAACGAACGCCGATCTCCTGAAGAAAATCAAGGCCAAGGTAAGCCCTGTCGAGACGGGCGTAGACATAAAGTCTATTGAAAAGACGAAACACGGAGGCGTTTTCCTTAAAATGGCTCGAAAGACCAAAGACAGCAAGGCATCCACCGATGCAGTAAAGGAAGCCACTGCAAACATCGGCACAGTCAAGATGCTAATACCAACAACAACGATCGAGATCCTCGACTTGGATGAAATCTCTACCGAGAGCGAAGTCCGTGAAGCACTCAAACGTGGACAATTTGATGACACTTGGATAATCTCTTAGTTGATGGGGTACAGCGGTTAGGAGTCAAGCAAAATAACCAAACAAAATACGCTCCCGTGGACAAAACTCCCCTTTAATGGGTTGGTCACACTAACTGACCTAACAAGACGATCGGTCCCTGCTGTAACTCACTGGGAGTGTCCG